ATGAGATCTTTATGATGCATGTAGTCCGGCGATATGCAGAAGAAATGAATAAATTGCGCACTCACCGGAAGCACAATTTAAATTGTGCGTTTGTGTCTCATACACCAAAGATCACTCCGACTGTGGATGAAGGGAAGCTCCGAAAAGGTGGTTCTATGATGAAAGGTGACCCATCTGGGGATTCCTTCTGGCAGACAGGTTCCAAAACAGGATCAGCTGAATATATCTCTGGGCCTTAGGGTAATCACCTGGTAGTCCTGCAATAAAGTGTGTCCCATGTCCGGCTGACTGCTGCATAGTGTAGAAATCTTCTTACTACCACTGCATACTCACTATTCATAGACCTCATAGTATATTTTCCCAGAATGCAATGCGATCTGTGACATTTCAACTTTCCAGTCACAGGTGTCCTAACAACCGAGGACGTCTCCGGATGATAAAGAGGACACTGGGCACCTTCACAATATCTCTCTTGGCCCCTTTCTTGCCTCTTTCCATCAGCACCAGGGTCACATTAGCTTAAGGCCCAGACATTTGCTGTAGTGTAGATCTCAGTCTGTATTTATACGTGACCAACCCTGAGGGGGAGAGATAAACTCAGCAAATGTCTGGGCCTTAAGCTAATGTGACCCTGGTGCTGATGGAATGGAAAGGCAAGAAAGGGGCCAAGAGAGATATTGTGAAGGTGCCCAGTGTCCTCTTTATCATCCGGAGACGTCCTCGGTTGTTAGGACACCTGTGACTGGAAAGTTGAAATGTCACAGATCGCATTGCATTCTGGGAAAATATACTATGAGGTCTATGAATAGTGAGTATGCAGTGGTAGTAAGAAGATTTCTACACTATGCAGCAGTCAGCCGGACATGGGACACACTTTATTGCAGGACTACCAGGTGATTACCCTAAGGCCCAGAGATATATTCAGCTGATCCTGTTTTGGAACCTGTCTGCCAGAAGGAATCCCCAGATGGGTCACCTTTCATCATAGAACCACCTGTTCGGAGCTTCCCTTCATCCACAGTCGGAGTGATCTTTGGTGTATGAGACACAAACGCACAATTTAAATTGTGCTTCCGGTGAGTGCGCAATTTATTCATTTCTTCTGCATATCGCCGGACTACATGCATCATAAAGATCTCATCGAGATACACTCATCTGTGTTTCTTTGATGACTGGACTGTACTGTGCATTTATATTGTGCGTTTTGTATTGTGAAGTGAAATTGTGTGAAGCTCACGTCATTTCTTCCCCTCTGTTTCCAACTCCTGGGAGGATCACATATAGTGTGTTTGGTCACATATAATGCATGTGGTCCACATCTGTTGACATTTAAGTAAGGGATATTGCACCATCTTCAATATTGGTACAGTCATATAACATCAAGCGCTGCACTATTTATCTTATATTGTTTGTTTGAAGGTTGATGGTTTTCCTTTTTAGTGTATCAGCTGCTGTGTCGGTTAGCGCTCACTGAATCCTTCATTACCATTATCCAAGGTTTATTGCAATTTTTTTAAAAAAGACAATAAACATACACACAAAAATATTCTTATACAGGATGTATATAGTGCCATTAGTTTGCTCAGCTATTTACAATATAAAGGGAGACAATACAGCAATGATACAGTTCAATACAAGAGGGTTAGGAGGGCCTTACCCCTCGGTGCATGAAAAGCCTGTAAGACCACAGGGATGGCCCAGAATGATGGCAGAGTGTCCAACTGGTGGTTCGGTCGGCATGCTGAAGTGTTTCGGGGATGCGTTCCTTTCCTCAGAGCTGTTTCAGCTTTGACCCTTTCCTCAGAGCTGTTGCAGCTCTGAGGAAAGGGACATATCCTCGAAATGCGTCAGCAGGCCAACAGCACCACCAGTTGGATTCTGGGCCATGCCTATGGCTTTACAGGCTTTTTCATGCACTTATTTTGTGAGTATGTATTTTTGTCTTTTAAAAATTTTTTTCAATAAACCTTGGATAATGCGCTAGGTGTTTGTGCCACCCGTGTGCTTTTTTTTTTTTTTCCCACTTTTGATGATCTCCGAATCTGAGAGCTGCATCACCAAGATTTTATCCTAAGGTTATCCACACATTGGGTTCCCTGGCTTCTTCCTGGCATTGACCCCTTTTAAGGCGCTGGAGAGTTAGTGCTTTCAGTCCAATTTCATACATGGCCGGTCCCAATGGAAGTTAGATATCACTGTAGCAGACACTGCTAATACAGTGATTGAAGTCATAGCTTTTGGGTTCTCGCTGAGCAGCTACCTTGCTTCAAAGTGAACACATGAGGTCATTCACTCGGCATGGGTGCCATTTAGAGAACACTTGAGCAGTTTCTCAAGGAATTCAAAATGTTCTTTCATGAGACAAGGTGGAGATTGTGATGTCACTGTACCGCCTTTCCATCTTGTCTAATCAGTACCACTGTAACATATTATTAATCAGTTTTTTTGTGTGATGTGTGTGTGTGTGTGTGTGTGTGTATATGCAATATATTTATAAAAAATGATTGATCTATATATTTTTATATATGTATATTTTTTTTATATATACACACACACGTAAAACCCATAGTTCAATGAAGCTAGAACATTGTATACTTCTGACAGTGAGCCAATTACTTTAGAAGTTTCTTCTTAATGAAGTGAGGACAGTGTTCCTTATAACAAAGGCAGCCTTGTCACGTATTTTTTACTTGAAAAAGAAAAAGTCGACTTTGAAATGTTTGAGCAAGTGTATTTGAATGGCCGATCTTGTTATCTCTAAGGTACAACCAACAAAAGGTTGTGGTATCAAGTTTGCTAAAATTTTTGAAAATGTTAAAGATGACTTGGGGGGCAATATTTTTCCCCAAAATGAGAGCTCCAGGAATCCTATCTAAAATGGGACAACCGAAGGTAAAAATGGAGACTGGAATGCAAAGGAAGCACTGGCTCAGTCCTTCCGATCAGTGCACTCTCTACTTCCTGTCTTTGCAGTTTTTCTCATGGAATTGGTTGTTGCATGAGGAGTCTGTGGGACTACAACTGCAATCACCAATTCCAGATGTACAGAGCTCCTAGACTGGCAGTTGGAGGTGTGGGTGGGATGTGTTAAACCATCGTATACAGTGGATATTATTGTGCCCCTCATTTTCCTCACACCCTTCTCAGTGTGTATGTTAGGAGAAGAAATGATTTATGAACATAGAACTGTGACTGAGCTTTAAAAAGTTTGGTTTATTTTGTCTGAATTGGTTACCTATGTACAGTAGGGCAAAAAAGTATTTAGTCAGCCACCAATTGTGCAAGTTCTCCCACTTAAAAAGATGAGAGAGGCCTGTAATTGGCATCATAGGTAGACCTCAACTATGAGAGAAAAAATTAGAAAAAAAAATCCAGACAATCACATTGGCTGATTTGGAAATAATTTATTTGCAAATTATGGTGGAAAATAAGTATTTAGTCAATATCTAAAGTTCATCTCAATACTTTGTTATATATCCTTTGTTGGCAATGACAGAGGTCAAACGTTTCCTGTAAGTCTTCACAAGGTTGGCACACACTGTTGCTGGTATGTTGGCCCATTCCTCCATGCAGATCTCCTCTAGAGCAGTGATGTTTTGGGGCTGTCGCTGGGCAACACGGACTTTCAACTCCCTCCAAAGGTTTTTCTATGGGGTTGAGATCTGGAGACTGGCTAGGCCACTCCAGGACCTTGAAATGCTTCTTACGAAGCCACTCCTTCGTTGCCCGGGCAGTATGTTTGGGATCATTGTCATGTTGGAAGACCCAACCACGTTTTATCTTCAATGTCCTTGCTGATGGAAGGAGGTTTGCACTCAAAATCTCACGATACATGGCCCCATTCATTCTGTCCTGTACATGGATCAGTCGTCCTGGTCCCTTTGTGGAGAAACAGCCCCAAAGCATGATGTTGCCACCCCCATGCTTCACAGTAGGTATGGTGTTCTTTGGATGCAGCTCAGCATTCTCTCTCCTCCAAACACGATGAGTTGTGTTTCTACTAAACAGTTCTATTTTGGTTTCATCTGACCATATGAGATTCTCCCAATCCGCTTCTGGATCATCCAAATGCTCTCTAGCAAACTTCAGACGGGCCCTGACATGTACTGGCTTAAGCAGGGGGACACGTCTGGCACTGCAGGATCTGAGTCCCTGGCGGCGTAGTGTGTGTTACTGGTGGTAGCCTTTGTTACGTTGGTCCCAGCTCTCTGCAGGTCATTCACTAGGCCCCCCCCCATGTGGTCCTGGGATTTTTGCTCACCGTTCTTGTGATCATTTTGACCCCCACGGGGTGAGATCTTGTGTGGAGCCCCAGATCGAGGGAGATTATCAGTGGTCTTGTATGTCTTCCATTTTCTAATTATTGCTCCCACAGTTGATTTGTTCACACCAAGCTGCTTGCCTATTGCAGATTTACTCTTCCCAGCCTGGTGCAGGTCTACAATATTGTTTCTGGCATCCTTCGACAGCTCTTTGGTCTTCACCAAAGTGGAGTTTGGAGTGTGACTGTTTGAGGTTGTGGACAGGTGTCTTTTATACTGATAACAAGTTCAAACAGGTGCCATTGATACAGGTAATGAGTGCAGGACAGAGGAGCGTCTTAAAGAAGAAGGTACAGGTCTGTGCGAGCCAGAAATCTTGCTTGTTTGTAGGTGACCAAATACTTTTTTTCCACCATTATTTGCAAATAAATTCTTTCCAAATCAGCCAATGTGATTGTCTGGATTTTTTTTTCTCATTTTGTTTCCCATAGTTGAGGTCTACCTATGATGCCAATTACAGGCCTCTCTCATCTTTTTAAGTGGGAGAACTTGCACAATTGATGGCTGACTAAATACTTTTTTGCCCCACTGTAAGTGGTCCATTGACTACAAGTCTAGGATTTTGTGTTGCGATTGAACAGCTTTGTGGATTTGGAGAGATGGTTTTTACTAGAGTCCACTAATGACATGGGTGGCACAGGTAGCATTAAAGAACTTAACTGTTTTTTATTTTTGGTGCAGAAAAAACTTGTAGCAATGCCAGATCACACAGATGTATCACTAACCCCAGAGGAGCGAGTTCGGGCCCTCAGCAAGCTAGGCTGTAATATCACCATCAATGAAGACATCACGCCCAGGCGCTACTTTCGGTCTGGAGTGGAGATGGAAAGAATGGCCTCTGTGTATTTGGATGAAGGAAATCTTGAAAATGCATTTGTTCTCTACAACAAGTTTATCACGTAAGGAGTCCAGTCATGTTCTGTTTTAAACATGTCCTCTGCCACTACCATTTTAATATAAGCCATGAGTTGTCTATTGTTTGGTTGCAGGCTATTTGTTGAGAAACTGCCTCTCCACAGAGACTACCAGCAATGTGAAATCCCAGAAAAACAAGATATATTAAAGGTTTGTCTGACTTGCCTATATTCTTGAGTAGTTTTCTCCATGAAAAATAAATATTTCCATTTGAAGTCATACTTATTTGGCAAAACTTTTTTTTATTTCACTTTGGATAGGGATTCGGCAACCCCCCCCCCCTATTGTTTATTTATTGTGCTGGTTTATGCCTCCCTTTAGGAAGATTTGCCCTCTATATTTGTCCTGTTTATAGGTATAATTGAGAGTGGAAGTGAAAATATCCCCAATTTTTGCTTGTGACCAGAACAGGAATACAGGGGAAATCTTCTGATTGAGACACTTATTCTGGTGATGTCTGGTTGACAACCAGGGATTCCCTAGCTTTTGTCAACTCTAGCTATGGGACAGGAAGTAAAGGGGGATCACCACAATGGGACACAGATTAAAAAAAAACCTATTCTCCTCCTCTCCTCATTCTCTCCTACCTTAATTCTCTCCCCTTGGCTTTACGCTGAACCCGCCTGCAGTTCTAGGAAATATTGCCCTCCTTCCAGAGCTTGACCAGGTCTCATCTTCCTTTTGCTACACAAAACTTCCGTTGCTCCCAAGGCTACCTGGTTAAATGTTTATCACACTGTAATCCCTTTCTGTGGTAGGGTAACCTGCCCTCCCAATTTCTCCCCCCTCTACTCCTTTTTTTTTACTTTTTGTGTTTCTTATTGTTTTGTTCATGTACTTGTGTTTTGAGATGCCTTATGTTTGTTCTCTTGGCTCTGAAAATTAATAAAATGTTTGAACAAGAAGAAAAAAAAAGCCTGACGGGTCCCTTACTGTATCAATCCATAATTGGGAAAGAAAAAAACATTTTGATCTTGGTTTATTTTAAACAATTATTATTAATGGTTGTTATCCACATGTTGCTCTTGAATGATTGGGCATGTATACCCTTTAACCCAGAGATGCAGGTTATTCTGTAACTGTTAACATATCTATAACATGCCAAGTGTACCATCCATGGGGAACAATGCAGTGGCAACAGTGAAACTCTATATAGCTGTATTAATTTATGCGTATCCTTTTATGTGGGCCCCTGTAGTTTCCTTTTAAACACAAGTCTGGCTGTGAGAGCTTTCTTGCAAATACAACTATTCAATCAAAATGTATGGTAAATTTTCCAAACTGCAGTTGTTTGATATAATAATAATAATTATTATTATTTTTGTTTTCACCTTTTGTTTTTCCCTTGCAGAAATTAAAAGAGATTGCATTTCCAAGAACAGATGATCTTAAGAAAGAACTTTTGAAAAAATATAACTTAGAATACCAAGAATATATGCAAGGCGTAGTAAGTGATCTAGAATGTTACTATTGTTTTTCTCTTTATTAGTGTTTATTATATACTTTTTTAACCTTCGAGTGGCATTTTTTTTGTGCCACTTTTAGGGTTAGAGTGGAACTAATCCCACAAATGCAATTTTTTTTTCCCAAAAGAAAGCTCAAGTTAGAAATATTCAATGGGTGTTAATAAATCTTTATCAGACATACTAATGTAATTTTTGTTTTCATTTTCAATCTTCCTACTAGCACATATACAGTGTAATAAAGCACAAAAATGTGTAACGCTGCTGTGAAATACCAAATAAACTATTACCTATAGTTCCTTGAGTTCATAATACATGTAACCACATCCACCAGCACGGTCTCTCATATATCCCATGCAAACGAATATAAATCTGTACATGATCCTGAAATTGATCCTGCTGCTGGTGTTCGTACCCTTCTGCCCGGTGCTGTCAGCAATCCATGCAAAAAGTGCACCACCCAAAAAGTGTGTCTGAAATGGACTCTCACCTCCACATGCAAGCCTGTTTAATTAAAAATAGGTCAGAAGAGCTTCCGCCCCATCTGTGAGGGATGAGTATGGGCGTCTCTGTGGGTTATAGGATTCTCTCTCTCCTCCACTGCTCGCTGGTGTAAGAATGCTCCTGTAGCCAAAGGTCTGTCAGGTGGAACTCACAAAACAAAGGAACCCGCCATAGTGTAGAAAATACCAAGTAGTTTTATTAAAATTGCACTTTACATTCAACAAGATGAAATGCCACAAGAAAATGCTGATAAAATCCCTGACCTTGGACAAGACCCGTGATGAATACAACCCATCGGCTCTCCTGTCACCCAAGCTCTTCCCCACACATATCGTCACTGATCACTTGACTTCCTCAGGGGTAACCTAGGTGACATGTGCTAGTCCTTATATAGATCCTGTTCTTTCCGTATAATAGGCAGTGACTGAGATCACTGCCATGGAGACAAGATACCTAACGGATCAGAGTGTTACCGCTACCTAGTGGATAGATGCTCAAATCACTCCTCTAAAACCTGAGAATCCACACTAAGGCTAGATTCACACCTATGCAGGTTGAGTTTAAGCCGTTTCTGAATTGCGTTTTTCATGCATTTTTTATTTTTTTTTTAAATTTTTTTTTATTTTTCTTGTTGCTAGGCAGATTTAAAACATGCCAAAAATGCAGCAAAAACACAATACATGCATCATTTCCATTGAAGTCTATAGAAAGAAAAATGCAACATTTTGCGCTCAAAAAAGTCAGTTTCATTCTCTTCGGGAGTCCCGGGATGTTCCCCCGGCGGAATTTTTTCGATACCTTCAATTGCGGCACTGGCTGCTCTTGCTGCGGGGCACTCCTGCTTTCCCATACCAGAAATCTGCCTTTGAACAGCTTTGCCAGCAGCGTCCGGGTGCCCCGGGCCTTATCTCTCTTCTTTATGCAGCTTTGAACAGACGCTCGTCGCATACTTCTCTTTCATATGTTGTTCAGTGGGAGCGCGACCTGGGAGTGGCTGTGGATCCGGAGGACTGGAATAAGGCCTGGTCACTCATAGCTAAATGCTCATTTAATACGTCCACGCTGGAGGCAGCCTATAAGGTATTGTTTCGTTGGTATTGGGTTCCGGCTTGTTTGACCCAGGCTAACCCTGCCTGTAGTGATCGATGTTTTCGGGGTTGTGGCCATCGTGGCGATGTCTTGCATATCTGGTGGTCATGCCCAAGACTGGTTCGTTTTTGGTCTCGTGTGTTTGGCCTCCTTTTCACTTTGTTTCATCTCTCTATACGCCAGGATGCTCGGTATGCTTTGCTTCATTGCCCCTATACCGGGCCTCTTGGCTCATCAGCAGAAGTTGGCGTCCTATTTGTTTTTATCGGCTACTAGAACAATTGCTCAGGCCTGAAAGAGTCCGTTTGTCCCTCTTCAGGGGGTGCGGGATCGTATGACCACTATGATGCTCAACGAACAGATGTCGAGTATATGCAACGACTCCCAATGTAAATTTTCGAAAATATGGGAACCGTGGTTGCAATATGCCTTTCCCACGCTCCCTCTGGCTAGTATGGGGATGTAATGGCGTTTGGCATTGGCGTTCGGTGGTGGCGCTCTTGGACCCCAGCTCTTCTTTTCTTTTTTTTTTCTCCCTTTTTCTGTTAGTTTTTGGGTGACAGTGGACAGCTGCCTTTAGTTGTTATAGTCAGAGTTTCATTAATGTTGTTGTAACTTACGTGCCATTGATAGCCCCTGCGTGGGCGTACCTTCTGCCTTGGAGTTAGAGCACTGTTTCTCTATTATGTTTTTTCTTATCGGTGCAATTGATAGCCCCTGTGGGGGCGTGTTTTGTTGCCTCTGTTTTATACTGATTAAAATTAATAAAAACCATTAAAATATAAAAAAGTCAGTTCCAAGATTCTGTACAGATTTATACCCGTTTGCACAAGATATATGAGAGACCGTGCTATTGAATGTGATTGCATATATTATGCACACAATGGACTATAGGTTATAGTTTCTTTGGTATTTCACAGCAATGCTACACATTTTTTTTTTGTTTTATTTTGATGTATTTGTGTTTAACAACCACAACTAGTGATTGCAGCAGCTTTGCTTAACACTGGATGTTTATTTATTCACTCATTTGGGTTTGGCAGTGCTCAATTATTATCACTTTGTCATTGTGTGTACAGTGTATGCTACATTCAAGGCGTGGCGCTGGTGATAACTGTCACAGTTGCCTTATGTCAATTCTCAGCTAAACTGTCCAAACCTGGAATGAGTTGAGTCATAGTTGATTACACGTGCAGCACCGTGGAAACTGCAGATCTAAATAGAAGCTAAAATGGCGCAGTCTTTGGCTGCAAATGGATCGAAGGGTTTTAGTTCCATGTCTTTTATTTTTAGCCATGTGAATGAGCTGAAAGTAACTGTCACTTCTTTAAGACAAACTTGTATTCTGGTGTTTTACCTTTTGTGAACTGAACCTATTGCAGAAAAAAAAGGTACATTTTTATTTTGTGTACTGCTCTTTGAGATGTACCTTCTACTTCTGACATAAGCAATTATGGCTGCCTCTACTTACAGTTCTATTTACAAAGAGAGCAAGCAATAACACTTCATGTTAACATTGTATATATTAACTCCCCAAGAATAGTGTTGCGCTGCCCCCTAGTGACCCAAAAAATACACTAATAATAAACACCCTCCTAAGCATCAAACCCAATGTGTAATAGAATAAATATGTGAAACAAATAAAGTCAATAGTACAAAAAAAAAAAAAAAACTGGCTGAACCACTAAATCCAAGTGATATGTGAAACATTTATCAAAAATAAACCAAAATCAAGTAGCAATAAACACCTGGCCAACTTATAATAAACACCCAGCTGAGCTGAAGGATAAAGTGTAAAAAAACAACAACAACAAAAAAAACAGCCAAGTGTTTATTATAGGTTGGCCAGGTGTTTATTGCTACTTGATTTTGGTTTATTTTTTATATATGTTTCACACATATCATTTGGATTTAGTGACTCAGTGGTTTGTTTTTTTTATTTACTATTGACTTTGTTTCACATATTTATTCTATTACACACTGGGTTTGATTCTCAGGAGGCTGTTTATTATTGGTGTATTTTTTGGGTCACTAGGGGGCAGCGCAGCACTATTCTTGGGAAGTTTTATTGATGTGGGAACACATTTAGGTGCTTGCAGCATCTTATTTATTTGTGGGCAGCGCATGAGGATAACTTATTCTTATTATTGTATATAGTAAGCTGATCACCTTTATTGACATGTCACAAATGTTGTGAGAGGACTAGATTCACTTTTCAGTACTCCAGTCTTATATCTCTTTTGGTATTGCTTCTAGGTATTTGCAATAATCCAGCCTAAAAGAACTACATTTTACCCCAGATAAGGAGACTTCTGTAATAAAGACCAAGAGCGCTTCTCTCTCTTTGAGGAGGGTGGTTGATCGTGTATCTGTGCTAGCAATCACAAAGCTGCCTGTGGTTGGTGCACACTCAGTGTAGATCCCTGGTTTGTCTTCACCCATACATTTCCATTTATTTAGAACAACATTGGTTACATACAAAATGGATTTAGGATATTGAGGCATCAGCTGAAAATAGCTGTTCATAAAAGTCAGAATAAAGCAAGCATGTAATTTCACTGTTTTAGTAACAATTCTACTAGATATAGAGCTTGTAAGGACCTTGTATAATACTTTCCTTCCTCAATCTCCCTTGCATCACTATTTGACCATACAAGGTCCAAATAAAAAATGTGTTTTATCCAAGAATGGTGGAGCATGTGAATCTCTCCCCTGTCTCCCAGATTGGGATGCTTAAGCAGGCAGTCACTAGGCTCAAGCACTGTCCTATGGGGGGAAAGTTCCTAACCTTCTGTGAGCTCCAATCCAATGTATAGTCAGAACGCATACAGTGATTTGATGAGAATCTAGCAGGAGATATGGGCTCTGGGGATCAATAGATGGAAATAACAAGCTCATTACTATTCCTGCTATTTATCAGTGATGAGCTGGGTTAGGTCCAAACACAGTATAAACCCAATTCAGCGGAACCAGTGGAATGTTGTTACATGATCCCATCCTCTCCAATCCAATCTGTAGCATCAGGCAAATTTGCATGCACATAGGGTCCCTGATGTCGTGATCTAATATGGCCTATTTCCGATACTAGGTCAGTTATGTCACAAGCATCACCTCCTCTTTATGTGTATATGCAGTTGCAGGGTGGGAATGCCCCGAGTACTGCTGATTGGGTTGGAGGGGATGTGATCATGTGACAGCTTTCCATGGGTTCTGCCAAACTGGGTTCAGACTGAACCCGGCTCATCTCTACTATCCAGCACAACATTACTAATAATAAATATCCTAAAACACTAGGTATACAGTAGTTCTGTTTTCTGAATGAAAATATAGCATTTACAGTACTTAGTAGCACAATGTTCTCTGCTTCTGAAATAAAAAGACGTTAAGCCGGCCACAGATGGTTTGAATCTCGGCCGGTTCAGCAGGGACCAGCCAAGATTCGAACCATCTATAGGCAGGCTAATTGTAACCAATTGACTGTGTTGATAGGGGAATCGAACAATTTTCTTTCCTTCTACCTATGGCTGCAGGAAAGAAAATCGTATCGCCTATGGCCTACTTTCATCAATATGTCCTTTTTTTGAAAGTGAAATCCAAAATGAAAACCTGAGATGCAGTGGACTCAATCTGAACATTCACAGCTGCTTTTACACTTTATCAGAACAAGAGGAAGGCAGAATGTCTGAAGAAAATGGAGCAGCAGCAGCTTATAGAGGCAGAAAAAAAGCGAGTGGCCCAGCTACGGCAGCAGCAGATAGAGACTGAACAATTCACCTTCTTTGAGGACCAGCTTAGAAAACAAGATCAGATCCGAGACCAGCAAAAAACTAAAGACAGCCTTACAGATAAAGTCCCTGAGCAGACTGATGGTAGCGCAATGACTTGTTGTCCCTCTCCTAAAACCCATCCAACATGCAATGTTCTTTCTGGAAAAGCTGGAAGGAATGACGCAGCCGCATATGCTGGTCAATCACCTCCTATAAACAGAGCCTTAAAGCCAGCAGCCACTCTAAGTGCCGTTCAGAGTGAGTACTTTATTTCTGTGATCATTTTTAGAGCTGGATTTCCAACTGGAAACGTTTTTGTGTTGCACAGTTTATCAAAACCATGCAGATTGTGGAGCATGTCAGTGTTTGGTTATGTTAATGACATATTTGTATACATATAAAGTGCAGCACTTAACAGAATACCAAACAATTAGTGAAACAAAATTGTAATAAAAAAATATTGACAGAAATGTCCGTCTAGAGTTGTCAAAATAAAGGAAAGTCTCCGAAGACCGTGATGAAATAGGAAAAATCCAAGGACAGCTAATGTGTCACCGACTACTCACTTAAAGGCTTACCAGAGAGATGTGACCCCCCCCCCCCCCCCCCCCCCCCCGTTAAGAGTGGTCAATCGCGCTTTTTTGTATGATAACCCAGAAGGTTGGAAAGCCGGACCCTCCTTTGGACCCCCAAGGGAGAAAAGCCAAAGATCCTCCAAGTAATGATCCCAGCAAAACCACTCCAGTGGTGACCCAAATAGGTATTTGGAGACATGCAAGAGAAGAATGCTCCACATAGTGTAAAACCAATAAAACTATGTTTATTTAAAAAATGGTTACACTCACATGAAAGTAGACATAGATAAGATGATGTCACTTATGATGAAAATGCGTAGGGCGGAGCCACACACACATGCTACCACACATGTGCGACCGGCCGGTTGCCATTTTGGATGCTGGAAAAATCTGACTTTTTGCTTATCTATGTCCACTTTCATGTGAGTGTAACCATTTTCCGAATTACATATCTGTGCAAAACAGGAGCACTATAAACTCTCTCAATCCTTCAAAAGCCCATATACAGGTAGTAATAGTCTCATTATATTTTCATCAGACACTTGATGCAATAGAGCATTGTATATAAGCAACAATCCTCCTCTCCTCCTCTTCACTACTGCTCCCAAGTGACATAGCATCAAAAATATTGTGTAGTGTGTCAAAATTTGTATACATTCTTTAAAAAATGAATGTGTTCACTTTCCAAGTGACAAAACGTGCACAAATTTCTTCACCATGTGTTCATGATACCAACCACATCTGACGTCACTTGCATCTGATGTGTTTCATCAACAATTGACTTTTTCATAGGGCACGTTTCGTTACCAATTGACTTCCTCCTAGACCTTAGTTCACTGTTACAAGGAAAGAGTGGATTGGGGGTGAGTTGGCGGACACTCAACATGTTACACCCCAACTACTGGTGTAACATGTTGGGAAAGGTGAACTTATCCTAGAACTAGTGTTGGGTAGAAAGGTACACCATCCTTGCGCATATGATATCAGCTGGAGATCATTTTGTCCACATTGTTTTCTTGTTTCTCTATGTTAGATGAAATTGTGGAAGGCCTCCGAATGGTTGTGTTCTACCCAAAGATCTTTCTCAAAAATTTTTGCAGTTGGCGGATGCAAATACCACCCGAGGAATTGAGACATGTGGGATTCTTTGTGGCAAGCTGGTAAGACTTGTGTTCAGATTTTGTTCTAAAGGGATAAAAAAAAAATGAGTAAAATGGTGCTTCTGCACCACTGCATAAACTAGTGCGAGTATGGTTTAGAGCACAGATGTTCAAATGTTGAGGCTCCATTAGTAAGTTGGGATTGTCCAGGAGTCTCAGAAAGATGTAGTCTCCAACTGAAAGCTGCAGGACTTTATTTAGAGCTTTATTCAACAGGTTTACTGTATCTGTTAATTTAAGGAATCTACAGACATTAGATGGTGGTTCAACTTTCAGGCTTGATCTGACTGCCTAATATTTGTAGGAAGTCTTTTCCCAAATGTTGATGTTTACCTCTTTGGCTCATATGCACAGTTAGACCTATGGATGAGGGTGGAGGGGCACTAGGCAGACTTGCCAACACTAATTTTTCTTTATGAAAAACTAGTGATAGCTGGGAAAATTCAGCTCTACCTACAAGAATGCTCAGCCAAGGACACCTTGCAAGGACGGTAAGCATCAACACATTTGGTAACACTTTAAACTAGGGAAATAACAAATCAGACAGACGTACTAATACTGATCAACATACAACAGACAAAGAAATGGTGGCAAGGCTATGCTACAAACCTTTTGTTCAAAAACACAACTACATACATAACTGTAGTGTGCATAAAAACCCCAAAATTCAAGTCAGGTGATAAATCAATAGTTCACTTGTGTTATTCACCATGAACATTTAAAGCACCAAGTGTGCACCACTAAAACCTCAAATCAGTGCTTAGGTGCAGGTCCCAGTGCTTGGTTTTAATCTATGCTGTGCTTGTTTGCCAATATTCTAATGATTTTAATGTAAGTGGCTTTTTCTCTAATAAATCCGGATTATCTTTATACTACACCATGGGATTTATTTAGAAAGCCTGTAGAGTGCAAAATTTGGTGCAGTTCTGCATAATAACCAATCGGTTTCCAGCTTTTATTGCCATAGCTTAATTGAACAAGCTGAAGATAGAAGCTGATTGGCTACCAAGCAGAGCTGCACCAGATTATTCACTCATTAGTTTTAGTAAATCAACCCCCATGAGTTTTGTCCTGTGTTCTTTTGCTTTAATTATGACATTGGATGCATGGTTTTGAGTGTGGGACTCGAAATCTAGCTGTATGACAGCTAAGCGCATGTAGATCTCATTACATTAAAATCTTCCCATCTGGCAAAGAGCTGTGTAACACTGGGATCTACACTGAAGTACTGATGTGAGGTTGCAGTGGCTCACTGTTGATGCTGTATACCTTCATGATGGATAACGCATGTGATACAAGCACCTGAATTAAATTTCCAAGTTTTTTGGACACTATAGTTACGCATGTAGATGCATTTTTGCAGTAAATTTGTTATTAATGTGGTACGTTGGTTTATATTTGTAATATATTAAGTGATGAGCGCACCTCATTTTTGTGTGTGTGTATTTACAGCATGTTCAGTATTTGGACATTTCAGCATGCTGCTATTTTTGTTACACCAAGTGCAAGGATTTCTTTATTACTATGCTACAAAGCTTACCTTCTAAAATTCTACCTTTTTGTTCTTGAAGCTCCTTTTGACAGTCTTCTTCCCTTGGTGGTTTCATTTTCTAACTTGATTCTACTCCAGTGACTTCAGTGTGAAGTTCTCTCACACCTACAGACCAAAGAAATGCCTTAAGCTGAGAAAGCTTTTTAAGGTCTCCAGAGATATGAACACTCAGACACTAAATAGCAATTCTTTGATTTTTGAACCGGTTGGGTGACTATCCTACTTTAAGTGGACAGTCCATGAGCCTGTCAAGGGGAAAAGTTGATTTAGGCAAGTAAGAAATTCTGTTCCAAATCCTTTTGACATTCGGCTGTTAAGATAGCCCCGTTTCCTGCTGCCTCACTTTACCAAATGATTGACTTGTCTTGCTGTCAACAGTGCTTAAAATATGTTCAATAGAGTTTTGCTTTAATTTGTTAGTCACTTATGTAAAGTCCATCTAATTCTACTAGCCCATCTAACACGTTCCTGTTAGACAGTGCTGCTTTCCAAGGTGACTCTGTTGCTCCTACATAGCGGAAGCATAGGAAATGCGTTACTGGCCAGATCACCAGGTGCAATAGGAAGAAGGGTCAACCTCACACCGGAAGATGATGAATATAGTGTATATTTATTGATCCATAGGACACACAAAACACCAGGACATGAATACAGCACATGTTAACGTGTTTCACACGATCTTGTGCTTAATCATGTGTGGCTGACCCTTCTTCCTGTTGTATCGTGTGTGTGGTGGCGAGCCAGAGCCTGCACCTGTCGTGGATTGATCTGGATTGTTTGCCTGAGCGGTATACCTCTGTTTTTTTGGATTCAGATCACCAGGTGAAAATGGAAAAATGTTTAAAAAATGGAGTCACCACATTTAAAGAATGGTAGGCTGCAATATAGAAACATTTTTGGTTTAATATCGCTTTATTTATGATGGCGGTGTTCATCACAATTGTCCAGACTTGTTGAAATAGAATGCATCTGGCAGTGAGTTTTATTACACATAGAGCACACATCTAAATTTCAAGCAGACCTGCTTGGCTAGTTATGTATGGCAGAAACTGCAAACTGTCTGCTTGATTTTAGTATACAGTAGATATTTCAGTTGTTGGCATCAGTGCTCCAGGGACAAATGTGAAAGGCCATTAAACCATGGGGAGTTCAGTATATCTAACATTTCTCATTGCTTTCTGTGTCTGTTATGTCATGTGGAAGGAACATAGCATTTACTTCTCTACATTTGATGGAGCTCTATGTGACAGATATGTTCAGGCCTCTTCAAGTGTGTCAGATTGTTCTGACATGCAGTATAAGAAAGAGAATAACAAGATCTGTCAAACAAATGCTAGCACTGGGTATTGTAAGACAACTAAAGCATTTTGTTGGTAGAGGAAGATAAATTAACCTTAAATCCATCTTCATAGTAAAACATTTATTTGACAACAGACCAGCAATAAACAGTCTGAGGAGATCTATATACCAGAGTAGAAATCCTAGATTAGTCTATCCTGCATAATTGTAGATGGAGAATACTAAGACATTATATAAATAGATAAACTCTTACTAAATAAACCCAAGAAAAGTCACACTTCCACCCTTGAAAATAAATCGATATAAATCAAACCTTTTCTCTAAATGGACTCAAACCCCTATCTCATATATAATACCCACTACGTATTGTAAAATAAAATTAAATAAACCACTATAAATCACACAAGTCCAAAGATTAAGGTGTCTCAAATAAAATCCAAATATTAAAAATGTGTCCAAAATATCAATAATCCAAAAAATATTGTATCCAACTTTTTCACCAGTCCAGATCTTGTAGTACCTCAAAAAAAAATGAAACTGAAATAGTGTATTATCTTCAAATTTTTAAATTCATTATGTGAAAAATTAATATATACGTGAGTGACACGTGAATCATGCAAAGAAAATTTTCACACCGTGTACACTCTTGCAAACGTGAAAATCAACACACACAAAAAAATATAATTATATAAAATTGATTTTTTTTTTTTAAACCACTCTGGGAAATTCAATTAATATATCAACGTGTAGTGAACAATCCTTGACCACCTCACACTAGTGGGATTAAAGGCAATTACCCTCTTGGAGTAACAACAAGCATCTCTGGATATGTAATCGCTTAACAGCTTCTATCCACCATGCAGATAGTAGACTTTCAGCTTCCCCAATTCCTCAGAAGGCAAAGAAGAGATCCATATAGTAACTGGATAAGGTATATATGAAGAAATTTAATACAGTGCTTACATTAGGGATTACTAAATCCTTTAGACCAGTCTCAGCAGTTTGTAATGCACAAAAACCACATTCTCCAATACTCAAATTGAGGGACCATCCCTCGAGAAGAAGTCTGGAAGTGACGAAACGCGTCAGTACAAATATACGTCTGACGCCAAACCGGAAGTAGCAGTGCGGCCATTTTGAGTTTTATTTATTATATATATATATATATATATATTTTTTTTTTTGTGTGTTAATTTTCATGTTTGCAGGAGTGTACACGGAGTGAAAATTTTCTTTGCATGATTCACGTATCACTCACATTGTATATATTAATTTTTCACATAATAATTAATTTTAAAAATTTGAAGGTAATACACTATTTCAGTCTCATTTTTTTTGAGGTACTGCGGGATCTGGACTGGTGAAAAAGTTGGATACAATATTTTTTGGAAGATTATTGATATTTTGGACACATTTTTAATATTTGGATTTTCTTTGAGACACCTTAATCTTTGGACTTGTGTGATTTATAGTGGTTTATTTTATTTTAATTTTTCAATACGTAGTGGGTATTATACATGAGATAGGGGTTTGAGTCCATTTAGAGAAAAGGTTTGATTTATGAATACTAAGACATGCCAAGTGCCCCAGTCTGCCTGACCAGGGTTCAGGTAAAAGAATGGAAGAGTCATCTTAGGGTTAAGAAAATTTCCCATCTTTTTTTTTTTCTGTGATGGTAGAAACCTCCTTAATTCCTCGTGCACACATGTGGTGTTTTTTTTTTTTTTTTTCTGGCATTTTTGTCTGCCCCTGAACTCCCCTTCATGGTATCCTCTGTGTCCATGCACACATAGACATTTACAGCAGTTTAATAGCAGGGGAGTTTAGAGGCTGTTTTCTGAATATCCTTAAATCACATTCAGGAGAGGGAAGTTTTGACTACAAACAACTCTGATAAATGTGTATAAACACAACTTACCATGTCAGCGTTTATTAGTTTCAAAGTTCAAAATTCAAATTCTGTCCAATGAAATAAATAAATGCCCAAACACCCAATGCTGCTAAACTCTGTTAAACGCCTAAACTGTTTGAAAAACCGCAGCTTAGGTGTGTTTTTAATGCTGATCTTCTCATGCCAGGAGAAACCGCTTTTACAATAACCAGTGTGCATGAGGCCTTATTGTAAACACTGTATCTCCTTAGGCACATTTTACGTGCGTTTAGCAGCATTCAGCATTTTTTTTCTACTCAAAATTCCCTCTCCTGAATGCAATTTTAGGGTCTTCAGAAAGCGTACTCTAAACTCCCCTGTTACTAAACTGCTGTAAATGTCTATGTGTGCATGGACACAAAGGATAACATGGAGTTCAGGGGCAGAAAAAATTGCCAAAACTCCAAAAACATGAGTTTAGGAGCAGCAGTGTGCATGAATGAGACCTAAATGGAGACCTGTCATATTCTGGTTAATATCCAGGCTTTTGAGAAGACCCAGAGTTACCATTAATGAAGAAAACTGCTGAAAAGGTTTGTATATTTGAGTGTATTACTGTTTGAAGGTGTACATATCCTTTTAACATGTTTGTAAATCCTAACAATGAACTTCTCCTATTTGAACCCTTTTGGTCTGTTACAACAACATTTTTCAAAGTTACATTTATCTGTTCAATAAGTGCAAAAGAATACTGTTGGTAATCTTATCTGCTGTTTCTGTGAACTACAGAACACCCTGTTCCTTTTGTTGGCCATAGATGTTTCAAATCTTTGCCAGTTCAGCAGGGACCAGTCAAAATTCAAACCATCTATGGACAGGCTGATTGTACTCAATTTGATTGTTGTACGACTTGCGTACAACCAGCATATTGGATGTGTAATGTGCAACCCATAGTTGCAGGAAAGAAAATTCCATAACCTATGGCCTGCCTTTGTTATGGGGATGAGATTTTCTCTAGTTCCTCACACATTTCATGTTCTAGGCTGACTATACTGCTTCTCTATAAATAAGGCTCGGTGAGAGAGAATTGTCATCCTAGGACAGAAAGTGTGTTAGTGGTCAGATCACCAGGTGAAAAATGTCTAAAAGAAAACTAATACAACCACCACATCTAAAGACTGGTAAGCTGCAATATATCATGTTTTGTTTATTATTGGGTTTAGATCAGCAATGGGCAAACTACGGCCCGGCGGACCTTTTAATCCGGCCCGCGGAGCGTGATACTGTCAGGATGGCTGTCAGGATGTGTGTAGGCGGGGCAGCGTGACGAATGTGAGGGGAGCTAGGCTCCTCTCACAGTCCGCCCTGAAGACCGGAACGGCGCGGGAACACGGCGAGAGGAACGCGCGGAGCAAAGGTAAGTAAATTGACACGGGGGACTTAATATGGGGGATGAATTAATATGGGGAATGAATTACTATAGGGGGGATGAATTACTATAGGGGGGATGAATTACTATATGGGGGATGAATTACTATGGGGGATGAATTACTATGGGGGATGAATTACTATGGGGGATGAATTACTATGGGGGATGAATTACTATATGGGGGATGAATTACTATGGGGGATGAATTACTATATGGGGGATTAATTACTATGCTTACTATGGGGGAATATTACTATACTTACTATGGATGACACATACACATCATTCATCTACTCTTGGTCCGGCCCCCGGGTCCAATATATGAACCCATTGCGGCCCTCAAGTCAAAAAGTTTGCCCACCCCTGGTTTAGATACTCTTTAAGTACTGACTTGGTTGTTTATTTGCTTTGTTTTACAGACACACGATGAGTTCATCATTACACACGTAATTGTACCAAAGCAGTCTGCAGGTCCAGACTATTGTGACATGGAGAATGTGGAAGAATTATTTAATGTACAAGATCAGCACAATCTACTTACATTGGGTTGGATTCATGTAAGTGTTTGTTTGTAATCAGAATATGAAAGGCTATTATTCTGTAGAACTACTGCTAGATCACGGACAAACATACCCAGTTTAAAACTGCCTATATATGATCTGGTAGCTCCAAGCACTGCAAATTATTAGAGCCTTACTTACAATAATTGTTTACTGTATGGGTGAACGGAAAAACGCTTTGGCTGGATTGGTGAGGGGTTAAAAACCCCTGTTAGGGGTTTATTGCTAAAGAGGAGAAAAGACCGCTCCCAGGTGAGTGCTAGATCACATAGCCCCTCCACATACCTGTTGGTGCTGGCCTGATCCGTGATCACAGCAATGGTGCAGAAAGAAGTGGGTTGGCCACACTGTCACGGTGTAGCAGAAGTGAAATCCTTTATTAGAGTTTTTACACGAAGTTTACTGTTCTCTGTCCAGTGTTGGAGCTGTTATGTCGATACTGTATTTGTGAAGAATTCAATAAAGGATTTTAATTCTACACTGTTGTCAGTGCGGCCAACATACTTCTTTCTGCACCATTCCAGGGTTTTTATTGCCTACTATGCCCCCATTTCCCTCAGAGTAGGGCCCTCTTACCCCTTGTGTGCTGTTTGATGTTACTGTACTGTTTCATGTATTGTCCCCCCTCTATTGTACAGCGCTGAGCAAACCCTTTGGCGCTATATAAACTCGATAAATAAATAAATAATAAATAAATTAGGGAGATTTACTGTTTGTCCTGTTGACCATTGTCACTGGGACTTGAAGCAAGGGAAACCTTTCTACGTTTTTTTTTTTGTGGTCAGTTGACCAAGAATAGAAGGATATCGTCCATTATGGACAACTAATCTGATTACCTCAGTCTCTAAAGAATTTACCTTCCTTTTGAAGACCTCTCCTCTCCGTTACAGCTGTGTCATGAGCAGGGGCGGACTGACCATTTGGAAACTCAGGCACTGCCCGAGAGCCCGGGGTCAGTAGGGGGCCCCATGAGATGCCCCTGGTACCTTTTTCATAGGCTTTTTTTAGTTTGGGCAAGGACACAGGGTCCCCATGATCCCCTATTGCCCGGGGGCCCCATGAGTTGTCAGTCTGCTTCTGTTCATGAGCAAGACATGAAGTAAAATCTCCTAAAAGGGACACCACAAGAAAAAACCACAGGGTTCGATCATTCCCTACTGTATTCAATATAAAAATACATGTTGGCTTTAGATGATTGTAGCCGTATTAGTGCACTTGCGACAGAAACAATTGAGTACTGACGTGACACTTTTTTTATTTGCACTAACATACAATTTTGAGGACAAGCTTTCGGGGTATGTCCCCTTCTTCAAGGTCCAGGCAGTACTACTTCACAAATTTTTAGCAGAATGTTAGAAGAGATGTTGGAAGGGGGAGGAAAAAAAAACCAAAGAAACACGCACAAAAACAAATTCAGGAAAGGAAAACTTTTGAACTAAGAATGATAATTCTTTTTGATACATGAGATAATGGCCTTAATTTGGACATGGGATTCCTCACTCATTATCGAACAGTTTTACGACCCCCTCTGTGAGTGTTGTCCCCCCCCCAGTCTTTGCTTTTGCTAGTCCTAGTCTTATAACCATTTCTGTGTACATTTGTTTGTGTGTTTTCTTTCTGTTTTTTTTTTCTCCCCCTTTCAACATCTTTTCTAACATGCTGTGAAGTAGTACTGCCTGGACCTTGAAGAAGGGGACATACACCGAAAGCTTGTCCTAAAAATTGTATGTTGGTGCAAATAAAAAAAGTATCACGGACAGTACTCAATTGTTTATGTTGGCTTTAGATATATTTTAAAGCTAAACTCCTGGCTAGAACAAAAAATACCCTTGCAAAGGTTAAATGCTCATTATGTCTAGGGGAGTTATAATAACGAAAAACACCCTATTTCATCTTCCAGCAGGTTCCATTTATCCATTCAACTGGTCCAGCACTGTCTCTTCTATAGCTGCTCACAGCCGCCAACACAAGTTCGCACACTCCACATACAATACAGGGTTACTAGCCCTAAATTGCATGTGATGATGATGAGAAACCACCCACAGGCCAGAGCTTTGTGGAGTGCTGAAGCTTGCTGGAACAGGAAATAGAGCAAAAATTAGAGCATATTTACCCTTGCAGTGTGTGCGTTACTTTAACTGACAATTGCGTGGTCATGCAACGCTGCACCCAAATGAAATTTAAGTCCCTTTTTTTTTCCCCACGAATAGAGCTTTCTTTCGGTGGTATTTGATCGCCTGTGTGGTGTTTTTTGTGGTTTTTTTTTTTTTGCGCTAAAAAACCCATCAATTTTGAGAAAAAAAAAACAATATTTTTGACTTTTTGATATGAAACATGCCCAGTAAAAAAAATTCAAATTTCGTCATAAATTTAGGTCAAAATGTGATGTGCTACATGTCTTTGCTGAAAAAAAAATCTCAGTACATGTAAAATAATTGGTTTACGTGAAAGTTATAGCATTTACAAATGGTGATTATTTTTATATATATATGTGTGTGTGTGTGTGTGTGTGTGTGTGTGTGTGTGTGTGTGTGTGTGTGTGTATATATTGTGTATATGTATATATATATATATATATATATATAGATATAGATAGATAGATAGATAGATAGATAGATATATATATATACTCTGGGCTTTTTTTTTAATTTTATTTTTACTAGTAATGGCGGCGATCAGCGACTTGTACTTGGACTGCGGAGGGCATTCTTACACTGGGGGGAACTGACTTGGTGTCACTGACCCCCAGTGACACCAATACAGTGATCTGTGCTAATAAAAAGCACCGACACTGGACTAATGACACTGGGAAGGAAGGGGTTAACATGTGGGGTGATCAAAGGTGTGTGTGTGTTTCACTGTAAGGACACTGCTTTGCATGGCTGTGCTATGCACAGCAGTGTGAAGGAGCTGACACGGGAGAGAACTGTTTTGTTACTAATAGTTCTCCCCCCTGTCAGAGATGCTTGGCAATCACCAGCCGGGACCCGGTGATTGACAGCCCTGGCCACACATTGCAGTGCGGGTAGGGCTGTATTTTGTGCACCCGTGACACCCTGTAGCAGTATTTCTGCTATAGAGTGGACGGTAAGTGGTTAACCAGGGTTCTTACCAAAACATAGACACCTTGGGGGATATTTACTAAAACGGAAGGGTGAAAAATCTAGTGCAACTCTGCACAGAAACCAATCAGCTTCCAGATGTTATAGTCCAAGCTTAATTGAACAAGTTGAAGTTAGAATCTGGTATTGTTGCGCAAGGTAGCCAATCCGCTTCTGAGTGCACCAGTTTTTTGGGTTTTTTTTTTTAGTAAATCTTCCCCCCTTGACCCAGATAGAATGTAATTCTTTCTTTTTTTTTTTTTTTTTTTTTTTTTAATTTACTTTCTCATGATCGGGTGTTTTTGCAAGGTGAATTTCCACCTCATTTCCTAAGCTAAGAGAAATTCCTTGCATCGTGATAATTAAACTTTGCAAAGTGAAAATGCTCAATTCCTATAAAAATCAGTGTCGTTGAGTTTCTTGAGTACATGTGTACAAATATCTTGCCTTTAATACAAGTGTCCAGTGTTTGCATAATATAGTCTTCTCGGTAGGATAAATGTTTTGCTTTAATACAAAATGTAAATGCAATGTATTCTAAGCAGGCTTAGTGCTACAAGTTATAATTGTATTGAAGGTTCGGCCCATTGAAATCTGATATTTTACTTCTTTGTAGACACATGATAAGTAAACCACTTAATGCTTGGTTGTATATCTGAGGATTTTTAGATGTGTGTTTAAGTTCCTGGGTCTGTTGACCTGCTGTGGTCCGTTCAGAGTTCCACTTCTAAAGTATATTCTAAAGAATGCCAGAGGAGGAGTTGAAACACCCAAAGGTGGGCAAGCATACCCAAAACTGCCAGGGTGTATAGGAGCAAAGCTTGGAACTATAGTATGGAGTCCTGGAAATTGCCATCTCTGTCCACCAGACTCCATTTATATCTGAAATATCACTTTTAGTTGGACTGGCCCTTCAATAAATGAAATAAAAATGTATTGCTGAAATTTTGGCTTTTCCTTGCAGACACATCCGACCCAAACGGCTTTCCTGTCCAGTGTTGATCTTCACACTCACTGCTCCTATCAGCTCATGCTACCTGAAGCCATTGCTATTGTTTGTTCCCCAAAGCACAATGAGTATGTCTATTTCCGGATATGTACAGTATATCCATAAACTATATACCTATGAAACTATATATTCAATGTTATTATCTAACTGCTGATGTGTTGTGAAACCCCAAAATACACTGCTCAAAAAAATTAAAGGAACACTTTGAAAACCCATCAGATCTCAATGGGGAAAAATATCATGCTAGATATCTATACTGATATGGACTGGGTAATGTGTTAAAAACATAAGGATGCCCCATCGTTTGATGGAAATTAAAATGAACAACCTACAGAGGACTAAATTCAAAGACACCATGGAAATCAAAGTGAAAAAATGATGCTGCAGGCTATTCCATTTTGCTGAAATTTCATTGCAGCAACTCAAAATGGTACTCAGTTTGCATGGCCCCCACGTGCTTGTATGCATGCCTGACAACATCGGGGCATGTTCCTAATGAGATGACGGATGGTGTCCTGGGGTATTTCCCCCCCGATCTGGACAGGGCATCACTGAGCTCCTGGACAGTCTGAGGTGCAACCTGGCGGCGTCGGATGGACTGAAACATGATATCCCAGAAGTGTTCTATTGGATTAGGTCAGGCAAGCGTGGGGGCCATTCAATGGTATCAATTCCTTCATCCTCCAGGAACTGCTTGCATACTCTCACCACATGAAGCCAGGCATTGTCGTGCACCAGGAGGAACCCAGGACCCACTGCACCAGCGTAGGGTCTGATAACGGGTCAAGGATTTCATCCCGATATCTACTGGCAGTCAGGGTGCCATTGTCTAGCCTGTAGAGGTCCGTGTGTCCCTTCATGGATATGCTTCTCCAGACCATCACTGACCCACCACCAAAACTGTCATGCTGAACAATGTTACAGGCAGCATAAGGTTCTCCACGGCTTCTCCAGACCCTTTCACATCTCTCACATGTGCTCAGGGTGAACCTGCTCTCATCTGTGAAAAGCACAGGGTGCCAGTGGCGGACCTGCCAATTCTGGTGTTCAATGGCAAATGCCAGTCGAGCTCTCGGGTGCTGGCAGTGAGCACAGGGCCCCCTAGAGGACGTCGGGCCCTCAGGCCACCCTCATGAAGTCTGTTTCTGATTGTTTGGTCAGAGACAGTCACACCAGTGGCTTGCTGGAGGTCATTTTTAGGGCTCTGGCAATGCTCAAAGGAGCAGATACCGGTCCTGCTGATGGGTTAAGGACCTTCTACGGCCTTTTCCAGCTCTACTAGAGTAATTGCCTGTCTCCTGGAATCTTCTCCATGCTATTGAGGCTGTGTTGGGAGACGCAGCAAACCTTCTGGCGTTGGTACATATTGATGTGCCATCCTGGAAAAGTTGGACTGCCTGTTCAACCTCTGTAGGGTCCAGGTATAACCTCATGCTACCAGTAGTGACACTGACCCTAGCTAAATGCAAAACTAGTGAAAAACAGTCAGAAAAGATGAGGAGTGTCAGTGGCCTCCACCTGTAAAACCATTCCTGTTTTGGGGGTCGTCTCATTGTTGCCCATCTAGTGTACCTGTTAATTTCATGAAGACCAAAGCAGCTGAAACTGATTAACAACCCCTTCTGCTACTTAACTGACCAGATCAATATCCCAGGAGTTTAATTGATTTGATGCTATACTTTGATTAAAAAGTGTTCCTTTAATATTTTTGAGCAGTGTAATATTGAAATTGTGAAAATTCCCTTTAAAAGGAAATTTCCACTAATGTTTTTATGCAGTGTTATACTAATAGTCTGGGAGGTTGATTTACTAAAAGCAAATAGGATGTTCACTTTGCAAGGGATTTTTTCCTTTAGTTTAGTGAATGCGGTGAAAATTCACTTTGCAAAGAATACCTATTCATGTGCAAAGAACATAAAAACAGCATTTTTGCTGATGTAGCTATACAGCTATCACTGTAGTAGAGCCAACTATACATCGATTGTCTGCTTTCACTGTGCTCCCACAGGTATGAGAAATGCATACTTCCATTGGTCAAAGCTGGAGCAATGTAATATTGAGATCATACTTGAAGTTCTGCTTTAACTATTCTATAAGAAACCAGAGCTGTAGGGTAAAGTAGCATTTTTTATATTTAAACAATTCTACTATATTCATTTAAAGCTAAACTACTAGGTACACAGATGATATAGACACAGTATATGGGAGCTGTTATGCCTACCAAAACGATTTGCATTTCTATCTATCCAATCCTGAGATTTACACAACTCTGCAATACAGTAAAGTCCAGTCTGGTGGGAGAGAAGACCAGTTCAGCAGGGACCGACCAAGATTTGCACCTTCTATGGGCAGGCTGATTGTACCCAAATTGACCAATCAATCAACTTGGTTACAACTAGCATGTTGGATTTATACATGCGATTATTGCCAGCAGATATAGCCGCTAGCAATATTCATTGTGTTCTCCCAGCAGGGAAGGTTTCCTGTGCCCCCTCCCCCGCTGGGAGCACAAAACGGCCGATGGCTGCCACTGCCCCAGCAAAGCCAATGAGATCAGGAATTGAGGGGAGAGAAGAACTGCAGACATTCACAGCGGTGTATCGAGTGAGAGCTCAGGTAAATAAAAGAAAGGGGGGGGGGGTGCTTACTGAATAAGGGATGCACCACTATATAGGAGGCCAAAAATACTGCTATCAGCATTCTGCCAATAGGAAAAAAGGTGCCGATAATTAATTTTTTTTTTTTTTTTTTTTTTTTTTTTTTTGACAAAGCAACACTCATGCAAAGTTGTGTCCTTTAGACTTTCATGCACAGTTGCGTCCCGTAGACTTTCATGCACAGTTGCGTCCCGTAGACTTTCATATGCACAGCTGCGTCCCGTAGACTTTCATATGCACAGTTGCGTCCCGTAGACTTTCATATGCACAGTTGCGTCCCGTAGACTTTCATATGCACAGTTGCGTCCCGTAGACTTTCATATGCACAGTTGCGTCCCGTAGGACTTTCATATGCACAGTTGCGTCCCGTAGACTTTCATGCACAGTTGCGTCCCGTAGACTTTCATGCACAGTTGCGTCCCGTAGACTTTCATGCACAGTTGCATCCCGTAGACTTTCATGCAGAGTTGCATCCCGTAGACTTTCATGCACAGTTGCATCCTGTAGAGACTTCAATGCAAAAGCGCCAGCCACATTAATTATTTAATAAATACATTTTCGTTTTCGACACTAGAATTTTCATTTTCTGTGCACACTACTAATTACTGATGTCTAAACATTTTTACTGTAATGTAAGGACTGCATTAAGGCAAAATGTTTAAGGTTTATAACCTCTTTACCTGTTGAACATCTTTTTCCTTAGTGTTTTATGTACATATTTTATGTTTCTTTTGACGATGAAAATAAAATGTTTTTCTGTCTCCCTTTCAGCACTGGAATATTTCGACTTACTAATGCTGGCATGCTGGAAGTGTCTGCTTGTAAGAAGAAAGGTTTTCATCCTCACAGCAAAGAGCCCAAACCATTTCAATGTAAGGGAACATTATGCAGTGGTTGACATGGCTTGGTGTGTGTTGGGGAGGGTAGTGGGGGAATATGGTGTAGTGTTTGTAGCAGAGGAGGGTGCGGGGAAATGTGGTGTAGTGTTTGTGCAGGGGAATAGTGGTGTAGTGTGTTTGTAGCAGGGGGGGTAGTGGGTGTGGGGTATATGGGAATAGTGTAGTGTTTGTAGCAGGGGAATATGGTGTAGTGGTAGCAGGGGAGGGTAGTGCGGGAATATGGTGTGTGTTTGAATGTGGTGTAGTGTTTGAGGGCAGTGTGGGGGAGGGTAGTGCAGGGAATATGGTGTAGTGTTTTGCAGGGGTGGGCAGTGCGGGGGATATGGAGGGTTTGTAGCAGGGGAGGGTAGTGCGGGGGGTGTAGTGTTTTAGCATATGGGGAATATGAAGTGTAGTGTTTGTAGGGGAGGGTAGTGGGGGCGTATGGGTAGATGTTTTGAGGTGGGGATGGTGGTGGGGAATTGGTGTAGTGTTTGTAGCAGGGGGAGGGTATGGGTGGTGGGGAATATGGTGTAGTGTTTTGTGCAGGGGAGTGTGGGGGTAGTGTTGGGGGAATATGGCGGAAATAGTAGTGTTTTTTGCAGGGGAGGGTAGTGTGGGGGATGGGTGGTGGGGAGGGTAGTGTGGGGATATGGTGTAAGTGTTTGTAGCAGGGGAGGGGTGCGGGGAATATGGTGTGTGGTAGCAGGGGAGGGTAGTGCGGGGAATATGGTTCTGTTGTAGCAGTGTTTGTAGCAGGGGATATGGTTATGGTGTTTTGTAGCAGGGTGGGGTAGTGCGGGGAATATGGTGTGTTTTGTGCAGGGGAGGGTATATGGTGTAGTGTTTGTAGCAGGGGAGGGTAGTGGGGAATATGGTGTAGTGTTTGTAGCAGGGGGGGGGTGGGGATGGTGTTAGTGTTGTAGCAGGTGGGGTAATGGGGAATATGGTGTAGTGTTTGTAGCAGGGGGGGTAGTGGGGGGTTGGTGTAGTGTTTGTAGGGGAGGGGTAGTGGGGGAATATGTGTGTAGTGTTTTGTAGCAGGGGGTAGTGCGGGGGTGGTGTAGTGTTTGTGCAGGGGGAGGGGTGTGGGGAATATGGTGTTTGTAGCAGTGTAGTGCTATGGGTTTTGTTTGTAGGGGAGGGTTGCGGGAATATGGGTAGTGTTTGTAGAGGGGAGGGTTGGGGAATATGGTGTAGTGTTTGTAGCAGGGGGGTAGAGTGGGGAATATGGTGTAGTGTTTGTAGTCCAGGGAGGGTATGGGGGTGTTTGTAGCAGGGTTGTAGTGGGGTTTGTGGGTGTGTTTGTAGGGGGAGGTAGTGTGGGGAATTGGTGTAGTGTTTGTAGCAGGGGGAGGGTAGTGCGGGGAATATGGTGTAGTGTTTGTAGCAGGGGAGGGTAGTGTGGGGAATATGGTGTAGTGTTTGTAGCAGGGGGGGGGGTAGTTTTGTGCAGGGGGGAATATGGTGTAGTGTTTGTAGCAGGGGAGGGTAGTGCGGGGGGTAGTTTTGTGCAGGGTGGGTAGTGTGCGGGGAATATGTGTAGTGTTTGTAGCAGGGGAGGGTAGTGCGGGGAATATGTGAAGTGTTTGTAGCAGGGGGGGGAGGGTAGTGTTGGGGGAAGTGGGGGAATAGGTGTAGTGTTTGTAGCAGGGGAGGGTAGTGTGGGGGATTATGGTGTAGTGTTTGTAGCAGGGGAGGGGGGGGAATATGGTGTAGTGTTTGTAGCAGGGAGGGTAGTGCGGGGAATATAGTGGTTGTAGCAGGGAGGGTCTGTAGGTTTAGGGGTTGGGTAGTGTGGGGTTTGTAGGGGGTGTAGGGTGTTTGTTTTAGCAGGGGGGGAGTGGGGTAGTGGTGGGGAATGATGGTGTGTGTTTTGTGGGTGGGTAGTGCGGGGAATGTGGTGTAGTGTTTGTAGCAGGGGAGGGTAGTGCGGGGGTTGTTTGTAGTGTTTGGGGTTGTTCTGTAGCAGGGGTGGGTGGGGAATGTGGTGTAGTGTTTGTAGCAGGGGAGGGTAGTGTGGGGAATTGGTGTAGGTGTTTGTAGCAGGGGGAGGGTTTGTGCAGGGGGGGAATATGGTGTAGTGTTTGTAGCAGGGGAGGGTAGTGCGTTGGGGGTGGTGGGTGTTTGTTGTGCAGGGGGGGTGTGTGGGGAATATGGTGTAGTGTTTGTAGCAGGGGGGTAGTGCGGGGAATATGGTGTAGTGTTTGGGAGGATAGTGTGGGGGGGTAGGTGTGGGGAATATGGGTGTCTTGGTGTAGTGTTTGTAGCAGGGGAGGGTAGTGGGAATAATGTGTGTTTTGGTAGCAGGGGAGGGTAGTGTGGGGAATGTGGTGTAGTGTTTGTAGTGTTTGGGGAGGGTAGTGTGTGGGGAATATGGTGTAGTGTTTGTAGCAGGGGAGGGTAGTGTGCGGGGAATATGGTGTTGGGAAATTGTAGCAGTGGAGAGTATTAGGGGAGGGTAGTGCGGGGAATATGGTGTAGTGTTTGTAGCAGGGGAGGTAGTGGGGGGGAATTAGTGTGTAGTGGTGTGGATGGTAGTGTTTGTAGCAGGGGAGGGTAGTGGGGGGAATGCGGGGTTTTGTGTGGTGTGCGGGGTGTTTGTAGTGGGTGGGGGTAGTGGGGGAATATGGGGAATAGTGTTCTGTTTGTAGCAGGGGAGGGTAGTGCGGGGAATATGGTGTAGTGTTTGTAGCAGGGGGGTGTGTGTGGGGAATATGGTGTAGTGTTTGTAGGGGAGGGTAGGGGAGGGTAGTGGGGGAGGGTAGTTTGGTGTAGTGTTTGTAGCAGGGGAGGGTAGAATATGGTGTAGTGTGGGGGGTATATGGTGTAGTGTTTGTAGCAGGGGGGGGGGGTGTAGTGTTTGTAGCAGGGGAATAGTGCGGGGAATTTGGGGTTTGGTATATGGTGAATAGTGTTTGTAGCAGGGGGGGTAGTGCGGGGAATATGGTGTAGTGTTTGTAGCAGGGGAGGGTAGTGCGGGGAATATGGTGTAGTGTTTGTAGCAGGGGAGGGTAGTGTGGGGAATATGGTGTTTGTGTAGGGTTTGTAGCAGGGGAGGGTTTAGTTGTAGCAGGGGGGAATATGGTGTGGTAGTAGTGTTTGTAGGGTAGTGTGGGGGGGATATGGTGTATGTGTAGTTGTAGTAGGTAGAGGGTAGTGTAGGGGAATATGGTGTAGTGTTTGTAGCAGGGGAGGGTAGTGCGGGGAATGGGGTGGTGTAGTGTTTGTAGCAGGGGGGGAGGGAGTGGGGGGAATATGTTGTAGTGTTTGTAGTGGGGGAGGGTAGTGCGGGGAATATGGTGTAGTGTTTGTAGCAGGGGAGGGTAGTGTGCGGGAATATGGTGTAGTGTTTGTAGCAGGGGGAGGGTGTAGGTGCGGGAATATGGTGTAGTGTTTTGGGGCAGGGATTGTGGTAGTGCGGGGAATATGGTGTAGTGTTTGTAGCAGGGGAGGGTAGTGCGGGGAATATGGTGTAGTGGTTTTGTAGCAGGGGAGGGTAGTGTGGGGAATATGGTGTAGTGTTTGTAGCAGGGGAGGGGAGGGTAGCAGGGGAGGGTAGTGCGGGGAATATGGTGTTAGTATGGCGGGGAATATGGTAGTGTTTGTAGCAGGGGAGTGGTTGGGTAGTGTGGGGAATATGGTGTAGTGTTTGTAGCAGGGGGGGAGGGTGTGTAGTTGTAGCAGGGGGGAATATGGTGTAGTGTTTGTAGCAGGGGAGGGTAGTGCGGGGAATATGGTGTAGTGTTTGTAGTAGGGGAGGGTAGTGTGGGGAATATGGTGTAGTGTTTGTAGCAGGGGGGGAGTGTAGTGGGGAATATGGTGTAGTGTTTGTAGTAGGGGAGGGTAGTGCGGGGAATATGGTGTAGTGTTTGTAGTAGGGGAGGGTAGTGTGGGGAATATGGTGTAGTGTTTGTAGCAGGGGAGGGTAGTGCGGGGAATATGGTGTAGTGTTTGTAGCAGGGGAGGGTAGTGCGGGGAATATGGTGTAGTGTTTGTAGCAGGGGAGGGTAGTGCGGGGGATGGTGTAGTGTTTGTAGGGGAGGGTAGTGCGGGGAATATGGTGTAGTGTTTGTAGCAGGGGAGGGTAGTGCGGGAGTGCGGGGAATATGGTGTAGTGTTTTAGCAGGGGAGGGTAGTGCGGGGAAGCAGTGTTTTGGCGATCAGATAAGAAGGGTGGTGCAATCTTAAGGTGCCCATAAAGATTAGACTTCATTCACTTCTCATGTTAAGTGCTGCCCTAGGCACTACTCCCAGTAAACTCTGCCTTCTCCTTTTACAGTGGCTGGTTGTCATAGTATGAACACTGGACACAGTTCTGCATCCCTGTGCTGGTGTATTCGCATGAATGCTAACATAAAGACATTATTCAAAAGGCCATACAAAGAACGGTTATAAACTACGACAATCCATATCGGACAATAGCATTTCAGCTTACTAGGGAGATCTTTAACCACTTGCCTACCAGGCACTTATACCCCCTTCCTTACCAGGCCAATTTTCAGCTTTCAGCGCTGCCGCACTTTGATTGACAATTGCGCGGTCATGCAACATTGTACCCATATGAAATTTTGATCATTTTTTTCTCACAAATAGAGCTTTCTTTTGGTGGTATTTAATCGCCACTGGGCGCTTTACTTTTTGCGCTATAAATTAAAAAAAGTGCAAAAAATTTGAAAAAAAAAAAAAAAGTTTATTTGTTTCTTTTATAAAATTTTTCAAACAGGTATTTTTTCTCCTTCACTGATTTGCGTTGATGAGGCGGCACTGATGGGCACTGATAGGCGGCACTGATGGGCACTGATAGGCAGCACTAAAGGGCACTGATAGGCAGTACTAATGAGGTGGCACGGATAGGCGGCACTGATAGACAGCACTAATTAGGGGTCACGGATAGGCGGCACTGATAGGCGGCACTGATAGGTGACACTGATGATGGGTACTGATAGACGGCACTGACTGGCATCACTTCTGGGCACTGACTGGCGGCACTG